CCACGTTGGCCAGGCTGGTCTCAAACTCCTGGGCTCAAGTGATCCACCCATCTTGGCCTCCCAAAGTGCTGGGGTTACAGGTGAGAGCTACTGCTCCCAGCCTGTCTTTTGTCTTTTTTATGAGCCTGCATCAAGTTGGGGGAAGCTGGAATGCCTTACCAAAAGGGCTTCCAAGTGAATTTTCAAGTCAGTAACAGCTTCATATTTCTTTAGCATGCAGGTCTGGACGATAGACCACATAGTGCAAATGGGGAAACACTTTAGGAATGGCTTTCAGAAAGTCATTTGCAGTTTTGGGGGCTCTGCCTTGCCCGTAAGTAGATCCAGGTAGGGCTTGTTGGGCCACTGATACCATTCTCAGGAGAATACTGTTCTGCCTCTTCCATTCATTTTTGTGCTTCCTCAGGTCCCTTTCGACAAAGTGTATTAGTTGGTAGAGGTCAGTAATAACAGGTCATAGGTTCCAATTAAGACCATGAATTCTTCAGAAAAATTTTGAAGTTCTTCCCTGGATTTAGAAAATTCTCTATGCTTTTGTCCAGGAGGTATAAGTTACTGGGGGATCATTTTGGAATTTTCAGGGGGTTTTATTTTATAAAAAAGCTGTTTAACTGCTTTTTCAGAAAAGAAATGTAGTTCAAACTGTTAGTAGACTTAATATCCAGGCAAAGTAGGATAGAGAGGAGCAATAGTAGTCAGGCCAGTCTTACTGTCCTTGGTATATGAGGATTATCTTGCATTTTTAGCTTTTCATTAGCTTTTTGCAGTGAATCTTTTGTAAAAGCTATTTTTGAATCCTGTTGTTTCTTTAAGGCTTCTGAATACCAATTAAAAGGAGAATCCCATTCTCTCTACCAATTAATTGGGAGGCTTGGAATTCAAGTACATTTCTTAGATGAATGGTCTTGTTCTTCTGGAGCGGTCTTCATATGACCATTGTAATTCTGAATTATCTTTAATAAGATTTTGCCACTTCTGTAAGTATATGCAGCTTTCAGGCTTAATACTCATACATGTGAAAGTCGGGTGTAGCCAGAAGACCGAGTACTCAGCTCTTCAGAAATTAAGGATCCTATTTTTACATTGAGTCTTGGGTCTCCCAGAGCCAAGATAAAAACCTAAGAGGGATATGCCATGAGTTTGAGTCCTGTAATGCTTCTACAGTGTGCTTCATTGCATGGATATTTTCTTGTGGCTGCTGGGCAACTTTATGTTAACTGACCCATTCCCTGACCACGCTTATCTTCTCATGGTAGTCTTATTTTTTAGTGATGGGTTGCTCTAATAGCTCTTACGTGCCTTCACCCAGGTCCACCAGTCAGGTTATGGCTTTGGCTCTGACATTCCACTGATCATCAACCTAGCCAAAGATTTTCCCATTTCTCTGTGAACCAGACACCTGAGGCCTCTATTACCTGAGTGTACAAGAAAAATGAAGAATATAGAACCAACGTAACTGCAAATTCTGAAAACTAGAGTTCGTACCCCCTGCAGTAATAACCACTTAGTTCAACCACTGTCAGTTACCTTTAAAACTGCAGCTCTTGCCAGTGACTCCTCAGCTACTGCAAATCCAAAAGTCAAGTGCCTTCTCACAGCACAGATTAACCCCAAACCACAGAGACCAGGGAACTCAGGGCAAAAGAAAGCAAAGCTTGTGAGAAACTTAACAATTTTCAGGGCTTCCTGAGGAAGACAGAGGACCCAAAAGGGGGCTCAGCAGCACCTTTGCCATGTTCCTCAAGAGGTCTCTGGGTCATGGGTCATCAGAAATCTCCTTCATGTCCCTTCATAGGGCCACCAGAACTGTCAAAAGACAAAACTACAACAAATTCAGTTATAAGTCTGTTTGGGCCTCTTATTCGGTTTGTTCTTACTAGGATCTAGTGCAGGAGCTCAGTATAATGGCCTCCCATAATGTTTGTTTAGTGCACCCAACCTGGAGATGATTTTGGAAATACTCATTACAATTGAACGAATCAATAACAATTCAAAACAAAAACTTTTTCTGTGATATTTGTCACAAAACAAAAATGAAGAGTTTGAATAGGGCAAATAATGCTTTATATGCTTTAAATTTTTATTGTTAAGAATATTATTAATATATATGGTTATTTTTCACAATTAATAATTTTTTTAATTTATTTGGTTTCAAAGTACCCTTTTTATGTTTTCTGTTATCAAATATCTGTATCAAATAAAGAGCAGTTTTACATTTTATTGAAGTTTATAATCTTGTCACAATATATTGACTTATAACCGTAATAAACCAATCATTTATTATTACATCTTTTTTAAAAAAACCTTTGAAACTTTCAATGTAACCTTTCCACAGAAAAATGATTCATTATTTATTGTTATGATCATTCATTTTTTCTTTAAATTGTTTTATTGAGATGTAATTAATATACCATGCAATTCACCCATTTAAAGTATACAAGTAACTTTTTTAATATATTTACAGGACTGTATAACCACCGTCAGAGTTTAATATTAGAATATTTTCATCCGCCTCAAAGAAATTCTTTATCCATTATCAGTAATCCCCATTTTCCTCTAGTACTCCTCCTGCAACCCTAAATAACTTTCTGTCTGTATAAATTTGCCTTTTCAAGATATTTTATATGAATGGAATCATACAATATGCAGTCTTTTGTGACTGGCTTATTTCACTTAGAATTTTTTTCAAGGTTCATTCATAGTGTATGTAGCATGTATTAATACTTCGTTTCATTTATTGTAGAATAATACTTCATTATGTGGATATGACACATTTTATTTCTCCCACTCATCATTTGATGGATATTTGGCTTGTTTCCACTTTTTGGCTATTAAGTATGAATAATGCTGCTGTGAACATTTGCATGCATGTTGTGTGAATATATGCTTTCATTTCTCTTGCTTACACACCTAGGAGTGAAATTACTGAACTATTTGTTAACTCTGTGTTAATTTTTTAGGTAACTGTCAAATTGTTTTCCAAAGTGACTATATCATTTTACATTCCCATCAATGATGTATGAGGATTCTAATTTCTCCATATCCTCACCAGTACTCGTTATTGTCTCTTTTATTATAGCCAATCTAGTGGATAAAAAGTCATTTTGATTTGCCCTTCTTCAATGGCTAATGATGTTGAGCATCTTTTCATATGCTTGTTGACCATTTGTGCATCTTTGGAGATGTGCCTATTTGAATTTCTTGCCCATTTTAAAATTGCATTATTTGTCTTTTTATTGTTGAGCTGTAAAGAATTCATATGTTTTCTGGATACTAGGCCCTTATCAATTACTGGATTTGCAAACATTTTCTCCCATTCTGTGGGTTGTCTTCTCATTTACTTTAAAAAATTTTTAACTTTGGTGAAGTCCGATTTATCTACTTTTCTTTTGGTACTTATGCTTTTGGTGTTGGATTTAAGAAACCATTGCCTAGTCCAAGGTCAAAAAGATTTGCTTTTATGTTTTCTTCTAAGGATTTTATAGTTTTAGCTTTTATATTCAGGTCTGTGACCCATTTTGAGTTAATTTTTGTTAAATTTTTTATTACTCTTTCTGAAAGCATTTTTAAAGTGCTGTGAAAAATATGGAATAACTTATGATTACAGGGGAGAATTACTGAGAATTTTGCTTTTTCATTCCTGAGTTCTGAAGATTAATACCTGTCAGGAATTTGGGGACACTAGCTGGTGCATTTTTCTCTGCAAGATAGTAAAGGCCCTTAGGTAGTTTACTCTTTGAACAGTTGGTGGCAGCAGAGCTTTAATGAATGTAGATTCTCATTTTTTTTCCCTAAACTTAGTATTTTATGTTTTAAGAATCCTGTATGTATTTGGACTGCCTTCTTTTTGATAATAGGTTGTTAGGCACTAAGTTTAACGTTCCTTTTAAGAGTATTTAAGAATTGTTTAGAGCTTAGAATTTTAGGGGTTTATTTTTGTTTTGGTTTGATTTTTCACCATGAGTTTGTTCAGGCTTCTGTTTGTGAGTCTAGTTTGTGGAGTATGGACATGATTTGCTTGAGGCCTTTAACTTGCAGACACAGTTTTTTAAAAATTTCTCTTATGTGTTTTATCCACTTTTTCAGTATTCGCTACTACCTCATGATCTTCATAGGGAGGTAAAGTAATAGAGTAACAGTCAACATGTTCGTTAGTGTTAAAGCTGTTCTCAAACTTACTCCTGAAACAAGTTGGCAGATTTACATTCTGATTTTGAGGATAGATAATACAGAAGTTGGACACATGAGTAACCTTTTTTCTTCAGCATTAAAAACTATATTATATAATCTCATGATTGGACCTCATATATCTTTTTTAGATCTAAATATTAAATAGTAAAATTACATGATGCCAATATTCCTTGACAGTTGTTTTCAAGACAATAATAGAGATAACATTTATTGAGCACTTAGTGTTTGCTAGGCACTGTGCTAAATGCCTCGTGTACATTGCCTTTTACTCACAGCAGTTCTCAGAGGTAAGTACTATTTTTGCCCAGAGTTTCCAGAGGAGGAGGTGGGCTTAGCTTAGAGAAGTTAAATAATTTGCCTGAGGTCACATTAGTAGATGGTGTGTGTGTGTGTTTATAAGCAATTATATTGCACTTTTGTGTGTGTGTGTGTTTTACAGAGTTGATGGTATACTAGCATTATTCTGCATCTTGTTTGTTTTTAAATTCAACAGTCTGTTTTGAAGATGTATAGCTCTTGCTGCTACATATAAATATTTGGTCAATTTCTCTACCTAATGAGTAGATAACACTTTGTATTTGTTTGACTTAGCCACTGAAAAACAGCATATCCTGGAATCTCACCAAATTTAGCTTTACTTCATGTTTCCACTAGAGGGTGTATAAAATATTTGACTTAATTTTTTTTCTGTTACTAAAGCTATGATAGTAATGGAGTAATGTACTGTTTCTTGTTGTATTAATCAGAAATAAAAATTTTAATGAACATAACAGGTATGATACTCTCCCTTGTTTTGTTTTATTCTGCAGGTTACTCATTTTTGGATCCTATGACAGAGAGGCAAATGTTCATTGCACACTTGAGTTAAGCAGTAGTGTTTGGGAAGAAAAACAGAGGAGTTCTATTAAGACGGTAAAATGGATTTGTAGTGATTTATATCTGTATAAAGTTCTATTTTATAAGCATGCGTTTATTACTATTTCTATATTCCCAGAGTTATTTTTGGTCATGTGCAAATAGCTATGAACAGTTCTTATTTATTTGTCTTGTTACAATACAACTACACTGATAAAGTAAATCACATGAAACTATAGTTAGTATTCATGTTACCTGCATAAGAAACCTAATCTGACTAGCGTTCCTTTCAGAACGTTTAGATTGCTTCAATTATAAAATTAGAAGGAACTAATTTTACACCTTCAAGTACATGTGAAATCAGAGTATTCATTATTCATTCATTGGACAGATATTTTATGAGCACTTACTTTGTGGTGGGAACTGTTTTAGATTGAAGAGAAACTGTTCAAGACAATAAAAGCCCCTATTCTTGTGATACTAACATGGGGTAGATTTGTGGTGTGGGGATTGGAAGAGGGAGGAGGTGATCTACGTTTTATAGGGTAAAGATAGAACTCAGTAACAAATGGTAAACAGAAAAAGTGAACGAAGCTATTCCCAAAGATTCACAGGTGCTGTGAAGAAAATAGGCATATGACAGAGAAATTGTAAGTTATGATAAAGGAGAATCTTTACATCTGTTGATAATAGGACTCTAAAGAGATGACACTGGAGCAGGCTTACCAGAGAAAATAGAGGACACCCAGTTAAATCTAAATTTCAGATAAACAGTGAATAATGATTTTAGTAGAAGCATGTAACCAGTACTACGGGTTTAACAGTCGAAATCCTGCTAAGTCTTTAATGGATAACTATGTAGTATTTTTATGGATATTCCTTTGACTTTTAAATTGTTTCTGATTTATTTATGTATTAACTGTTGTGAACATCCTTATATAAAAATTAGGCAGTATGAAATTATTTTGGAAGAAAGAGGGTAATTGATCAGAATGGAGAAGGAGAGACAAGTAAAACTGGAAAGGGAGGATGGTTGGCCCACAGAGTTTGGATTTATGAAAGCAGTGGGGAGCTGTTGAAGATTTTGAGCATGGTAATGACATGGTCAAAATAGAGGTTTCATGGAAGGTTTCCCCTTTCTTTGGTGGCTGTTCTTGCCCCAACCTTCTTTAAGTTATATCTCAAACAATTTGAAGCAATTCCTCAGAAGAATGAAGGAAGTAGCATTAGAATTTGTTTTGAAATACATAACTACCTGAAGAAGCATTATTGTTTTGTCCAGCTAAATTTTTGCCTTTACTTTGACTTGGTCATAACTTGCCATTGCTGTTGGCGTTTTCAATATCCTTTATTATATTTGCAAAGATATGAGATTAGACAGTTCTAATATTTTATAGCGAAAGTTGTTAAGACTTTAATCTTGTCATTATTTTAGATCTTAGCATATGTCATAAGTAGTTTTGAGGAAAGAATTCTAGGTTATTAATTATATCTGATGTTGAAAATGTCAGCAACAGTGTCTATAGGCATTAAATTATGAATGTCTGAATTTAATATTCCTAGGGAGGAGAATTATTATGTTCTTTAAGACAACATAAAACATCAGGGAGTAGGATTCGATAATTTGTAATACATTACAAATATGAGTAGAAACTAGAACATCATTAAAAACAATTACGCTAAATTATTTGATGAGTTTAGGATGCTATCTTTGTGTAAATACAATCTAGGTTTAAAACAGTATTTAATGTTGAAATTTGTTCAGTGAAGTTAGTCACTAATTATAATGAATATGCAGAACAAAAGAAACTTAATTCCTGTCATACTTTTAATGTGCCTTGAGTTTTTAAAGGAGTATAACACTGTAATCTAGGAACATAGCTTCCTCCTTCATCTTCCTTAGCATGTGATTTTTGCCCTCATGGTTGCAAGATGTCTAATGCATCCTTAGGATTTTACCTTTCAAGAAAAAGGGTGTGGTCCAAAGCTGGCCAAAAGCACATGTCAGCCATGTTCTTTTTAAAACTTTCCTGGAAGTTCCTCCCAGGGATTTCCACTTATATCTCATCGGCCAGAAGTGAGTCATATGGCCTCCTCAGCAGCAAGAAAGTACAGTATGAGAAGCCATTTTAATTTTTCTGCCTTTTTAGAAGTGGAAGGCAAGGGAGAAACAGGAGTTATAAATGGCTTTTATGTAGCCAGTCCACAAGAAAACAACTCAAATCTATTTGATGACCTTTTGATTTTTTTTTTTTTTTTTTAGAGGCAGTCTCGCTCTGTCACCCAGGCTAGAGTGCAGTGGCACAATCACGGCTCACTGCAGCCTCCAGCTCCTGGGATCAAGTTATCCTCCCACATCAGCTTCCACCTCCCGAGTAGCTGGGACTGCAGGTGTGCACCACTACACTCATCTATTTATTTTTATTTTTTAATTTTCGTTAAAGACAGGGTCTTTCTGTCTTAGCCAGGCTGATCTTGAACTCCTGTCCTCAAGTAGTCCTCCCACTTTAGCCTCCCAAAGTGCTGGGATTAAAGGGACTAGCTGTCACACCTGGCCATGACTTGTTATTTTTAAGGGAATTTTTAATAAATTGGGATATAAGGGAGAAATTACAAAGAATAATTTAGCAAATAGCCTACATAAAGCCCATTTTAGAAATACCTTATTAGAAATCCAAGAAAAGTTTGGAGCAAAGTCACTCAGACCAGTGCCCTGCTTAGCTCATTCGTACAATAAAAGAACTCACAGGATAAATTAGGTACCTTGTGGTTGTGTTTGTTCTTTGAAAATAGTAAAGATTCCTCTTGAGAATCCTATGAGCCAAGATAGCTGAGGTATAAGTAAATTAGATATTAGGCTTAAACAAAAATTAGGGGATTATCTTACAAGAGATGACAGAGAAAATACTAAAAATTTCTTTACCACACCAGAAAGAGACAGTGCAATTTGTGATTTATTTCGGGTCCATTGCAGTATTCAGGTTTGGTGATCATACTTTGCTTAACTTTCATCAAGAAAGAAATTTAAGGAGTTTCAGATTTTAAAAAGTTTCAGGCCATGATATTTTAGTAATAAACTATAAAAACGATCTATAAATATCTGTAGAATGTATAGTGCTTACAAACAAAATTCACAATGAATTAATGTGACATACATTAAAGCACATGTGAATCATTATTATGTGCCTGGTTAGCGCCACAGAACACATAAATGTCACATTAGCACACATTGTTTGAAAGAGAGAGATCCTAAGTTTTACCCTCCCAGAATTGGAGTTTTCTTGCCACTGACCACCCAGTTGCTTTACCCCTAGTTCCAGACACAAAATAGATTATTGTTTTTGTTTTTGAGGCAGAGTCTAGCTCTGTCACCTAGACTGGAGTGCAGTGGTGCAGTCTCAACTCACTGCAACCTCTGCCTCCCGGAGCAATTCTCCTGCCTCAGCCTCCTGAGTAGCTGGGACTACGGGCGTACACCACTGCACCCAGCTAATTGTCGTATCTTTAGTAGAGATGGGGTTTTGCCATGTTGGCCAGGTTGGTCTCGAACTCCTGGTCTCAGGTGATCCACCTGCCTCGGCCCCCCACAGTGTTTGAATTATGGGCATAAGCCACTGTGCCCAACCTCAGACACAAAATAGATTATTAATAAAAATTTTGTTCTCTTTCCCTCTCTCTCCCTATTTTAGCTAGTCTGCCTGTGCCTTCTGTATCGTCTCTTCATCATTTATCCACACTGACTTACTTGATTCTTCAAATAGGTTGTTCTTTTCCAACTCTATTCTTCCAACTTGGAATGTTTGAGGCCACTGGGAAAAGAGAAGGCACCATAGAAATGGGCTCTGGGACTTCTGAATCTGGCAATTCTGGTGTAGAGGAAAAGCCAGTAGGGGCTAGTACAAACACCCACCTATTCTTTCATTCTGAATAAAAGCATATAAAGAGTTCTGATTTTTAGAAATAAGCTTTTATGTACATTTTCTGATGCTAACCCTACTCTCCATCTTCCTTCAACCTACCACACTCTGCATTCAGGTACTTGACAGCAGTTGCCTTTCATAAGAGACCAAGTATTTCGTTTTGCAATTAGAGACACGAGGTTGAAAATCCAAACAATATTGGTATATAAATGTGTTACTATCAGAAAGGAAAGATGAATATGAATTTTTTCCTGTTTTGAAATGGAGAGGAAATTATACAAGAAGCTTTTGGGTCTCCTTATTTAGAGTAGATGGGCAGAAAAGAGAACAATCATTTGTTCAGTATAAATAAAAGAGTAGAAATACTTCATACCTTTTGTAGCCCAGTATGCAGGTACCGGAGAGAACTGTGGTTAAAGGCATTAGGAGATGACATGCTACTTCAGATCTACCTAAAAAGCAAGAAGTGATGCATCCCTGAAAAAGCATTCAGCTAACAGTTGGGGAGAATCTGTAAGTGATATATGGGAGTTCTTAATCAGAACAGTGTATTCTTTCTGAGTGTTTCATGGTATTAACTGGCAACCATTATAAGAAGGGCTTTAGATAGGTCAGCCTTATCTAAAATTGGGAAGCCTGAAGAATTCACCTCCTAGATTTTGGACTTTTTCTTTCTGTTTGACTTGAATGGTATTTTTTCTTCTCTTTAGAAAAGAAAGCTATTGTTTTCTCGTCAAAGCCTAATCTGATAAGGTAAATCATGATATCAAGCTCCCATCAATTTTTAAACATACCCATACAATTAAAGAGATATTTGAGGAGATGATACCTATTTTCTAAGACCTGCCAGGGTAAGAAACAAGATATGCAAGCAAAAAATCTAACATATGTAGCACTTTAGAATCTATGAAATAGTTTTCCCATATATAAAGAGCTAAAGTCTTCTGACTATTAGATCTCTACTTGTTTGATTAAATCCCACTACCTCTAACAAAAACTGGACTCTGAATGGTATTCAAAAAATTAGTGATGATAATGGAATCATTTTAGAACAGAGTTAAGAAGAGATCTGAAAGTATGGGGAGATGGGATTTGAATACAAGGGCCTTCAAAATACGATCAGCCATGTTCACTTGC